TCTGTCTGACAATGAAAATCCGTTGTATTGTAAAATTCGTTATATCAAAATTCATTGTAGAAAGAGTTGACTGTATAAATAATAAGTATAATGATTATAATTAATATTATATAGATCAATGATGATCACTTTAGCAACTTGGTCTAATTTGTCTATTTCATCAACTTTATTAATCATTTTAATCACATATAGTAACTAATTAAAGCGTAATCACAGATCACAGCTTCAATCTTTCCTTTTCAAATTTTGAGTTTCTGCCTAAATTCTATAGCTTTATTAACTAAATTCTTAAACTTTTTATAGATAAAATTAATGTTAATCATTATTATTAAATGCAGTTGAAAAATTATTTAGGTAAGATTATCATTAATCAAAAATTTATATGATATTAGATATTGCAGTAATTAAAAAATTCATATAATATTAGATATTGCAGTAATTTCTTTTACTGATAATTTTTTTTTAACTTAAATTTTGAATATTGTAATAAGAAATAATTTTGTTTTCAAAATTAAATTTTTCTAAAAATTTATAAAAAGGACTTTACAAAATGTCTATAATTCAGATACGACCTATTAAAAGGAGAACCTACAGATCAGACTATTTGCAATTAACCTTACAAATATAGGTTTTTCTAATGTTATATAAGGTTAAAATTTGTTAACTTTCAGAATTATGAGATTTAAAATTTTATAAAAATAGCTTAATTTTGAATGATTTTTTAAAGTCACGTGATAAATTATTTTTATTAAATATTAAAATTCTATACATGTTGATCTAATTTTTTAAATCCAAATTCAAATTTTCTTTCACTTGCTAAATATCAATTTTTTCAAAAATGCCTTCTAATAATCATTTCAAAAATGCTTATCAAAAGAAAGCTGAATATAAAAGAACTTTTCGCTTTAAGAAAAATGATGAGTTTCAAGAATAACTTATGAACTAACAAGTTAAAAATCAAATTAAAGAAAGAAAAAATCTACTTATGAATAATAGGTTGACATATCTTATAATAGATTAAAGTATTCAAGAGAAACTATTAAGACAAAGAATAAATATATTAAAAGATGAAAACCTTCATTAAAAAGAAGCACTTTTAAAGCAGTGATTATTTTATAAAGATTTATAGGAAGGTCAAGTGTTAGATTTTGTTAAGTGATTTGTGTGGTAATTGAAATATCTATTTTTACTTGATCTTTTTCTTAAAATTTTTCTTTGCTGGTGGTTTACTGGATTGGATTAGTAATTATAGCTGGTTATATATTTTATCGATTATTTTATAAATAAAATTATATACTTAGTGACTTAATTATTTTAATCTGAGCTTCATTCATAATATATTTAATTTTTTTTATATCAAAAGTTCATTGAAACCTAATGTTTAAGAAATCTACTATGAGAAAATTATTGAATACAAATCTAAAATTAACTTTTAATCAATTGATTATATTGTTTAACTTTTTTTAATGCATAAATTACGTAAATATTCCAAGTAATTACTTTTTCAGGAAAACTAACATTTTCATATTCTTTATTTTTATACATGCATTTTATTAAACTCTTAAAATTATGCAGCTTATGAATTTTTTTTAAATTTGTATTAAAATAAAGAAATGTTGATCAAAAATATGCTATACAAATATTATGTGATCATCTAATTTTAAGTAACCTTTGTTTTTTAGATCAGGTAAATTATTTAATTTAAAAATCATTATTTTTAATAAACTTTATTAAGTAATTATTTTTGTCCTTAATATTTACAGTAATTAAAATTAATTAATATATAATAATAATTTAAATATTAATTGAAAAATTTCAAAAAATATAAATAATTTGAAAAATGATTATACTTGTTATTTTGGTTATCAAAAAACCATTATTTGATATAATTAATATGAAAAATTATTTAGTTAGTTAATTATATCTTATGCTAAGAATTACTTATAGATTTTAGAATTTAGTTATACATTAAGTAATTGCATCTGAATTTTTTGATGTAATACATGAAGTTATTATTAAAGAGATGTATTAAATTGGTATTCACTTTAATTATGATAAAATAAGAATACTAGTAAATGGTTATATATTTAATTTATAAGTCAAGATAAATTTAAAGTATTATATAACTTCAAAGGATGAAAATACTGATTCTATAGAGTTTCAATTTGCTGTTAAAGCATAGCTTGCTTATTTTCTTACTCCTTTAAATAGTAATTCTAAAGATTCTGATTTTATCAAAGAACTCTATTAACCTGCAGATATTACTTCATATATGCATGTATTAGTATAGGATATATAGAAAAACATAATAAATAGGAATTAAATTTTTCTTTTATATTCTAATTAAAAAGAAAAATCATATGCTAGTATTATTTTTTTTTGTAAAACTATGAAAGATATTTAATCCCTACAGATTGTCAATGATTCTAAATTTAGTCGAAATCTATTGATTCATTAGAAATCACGCGAATGCAAGTAAAACTATCAAACTGATCCTTCCGTTATTCTTTTTCCTTATCTGAGCCCATTCTTTCTTTTCAAAATTGGATATCAATGACCGTTCGTGGTATGGTACATATGTGCTGTAAATAATCTGCTACTCTGCTGCTCTATTCCTGATTTAGTTAAGGTAAAATTACTAATTCTAAAGTTGCAATAGTTGAAATACTTGAAGAAAATAGATCACTTTATGAATTATTTTATAATATTCCTTTTATTTGTGATAAATCTCAAAAAATTTGAATTATTAATAAAGAAAATTAATAAACTTCATGTTTTATTATTCTAAACTAATTAATATAATCAATATTTACATAATTTTTTTTTTTTTATTAAAATAAATCTACTTTTAATTCAAATTTCTAATTTGCGATATATAAAAATTTATAGTAATATATTCAGCATAACAAAAATTATCATTAATTTTATGCTCTTTTTTTTCTCTTCATTCAATAATTACTTCTCCCTTTTGTATTGAGAATTTTTCCTTTTTTTCATATTTTTCTTATATGCTACAAGCACAGCTAAAGGATTAGTTTTACACTTTTTTACTTCATGTTCAGAAATTTTAAATGATTCTTTTAGTTGATCTAGTAAAACTATATATGTTTTTTGTTCTTGATCATGTTTTATTAATCATGTCCATCATTAAAAATGTAATTTAATTGTTTTTTCTCCAATTCTCTTAAAAAAAAAATTTGTAAATACCCCTTTTTATTTTATAGTATAAGGAAGAGAAACTGTTTGACGCTCAACCCTGATATGACTTTTGCTTAATTTCCTATGAATATGATATACAAAATTCTCCTGAAATTCTTTAACTGTTTGTGAAGGTAATATGTCTATATACTTTTTAGGTCTATTATATTTATTGACAATTCTGCGATATAATAATAAGCTACATTCTGAATGAAATGAGCGAAGACTCACTTTATAAAGAATTGGAGATCCAGAATTTGAATTCAATCTCATTACTTGTTTACTATAACTCATAAAATTTTATTGATATTAATCTTAAATATACCTTACAAAACGAATAAAAAATAAAATAATGTCTAATTGATAATACTTTTTTTAAAAACTTCTTTTAAGATTATGAGTTTTTAACTAAATTATAAAAAAAAATATATTAACGCAAGAAAGATATGCACAACAGTCTTAAAAGCAAAACAAAACGATATTACATCATGTATAATTGTAATACTTTAATGGCCATTACCTTATTAAAGAGTTTGATGGATTTTGAGAAGCGACGATGAGTTTGACGCAATTTTACTATGAATTCTTTTTTTTTTAGTACACAGATATTATTTTTGATGTTTAGATTTATTGATTGCATGTATTTGTTACACAGAAAAATCATATAGAAAAATCACGTTTTGGATCATAATTTAGGCTAATTTTAAGGATACGCGAATATGAGTATTGATAAATAGCTTGAAATAGACTTCTATTTCAAGGCTATTATTCTGAATCACAGAGAAAAAAAGTTAAATATGTAATTCATAGGTGAGTCTGAATGAATTACTAGGTTTTAAAGTCTTTTTGCATGTGGTATTATTAGTGCTTCGTTAAAATCACTATGTAGGTCCAATATATTGTAAAATAGCTAAATGTTATTGATTAAATGTCTAATTAAATCCCTTTTACCATCTTTCGTATCATATCTATCTAATAGGCTGTTGGGAAATTCTTCACTATCATCACTATTAATCTCATCGATCTTGTAATTAACATGGACTCCATCATCCTCAAATTCATCATTGGATAATTTATCATTGGGAGAGAATTTATCTTGGGTAGAGACATTTGACGATTTTTATCTGATAACAATAAATGATTATTTTCAGTATTATAAATGTTATCACTTTCCTGTTCGTATTGTAATGAGTAATTAAGTAATCAGTTAATGGCCAAACTTGAATCATAACCCAGCAACAAATAAAACCTCACCTTATAAGTTCTGGCATCAAGAAATTCTTCGAGATCTTGGTAGTGGTTGATCTAGCATATTTTTGAACTTGATCTGTTGTAACTGTGGCTATAATTACGTGTTAGGCTGCCTATGTATAAGTAGGGCAATTTTGGGGGTTCTGGGGTCAAAATTATTACAAAGGTATCCAGAATGCTCCCAATCATAGGCCAGAAGCT